AAGCCATTCTGGGAGATGGGTAGCCGGAGGGCTCCACTCCGTGGGCTAAAGGAAGGGCCTCTCCCGGGCCCGGGCAGTTGAGAGGCATCCCTCGCTCCGCGTGCACTGGGCATGGGGACTGCTGCCCACCAACATCTCCTCCTGCCCACCAACATCTCCTCCTGCCCTTCAAGAGGGCTCCGCATCCCAACCCGGGAGCTCACTGGGGTTGGGCCCCGGCTTCAGGCCACGAGCTGCTTGGCACTCTCTGGTCTTCCGACATCCATCCACCCACCCACCCACCCACCAGAGGGCCTTGCAAGGGGATACAGAAATGGGCCCTGCCCAAGTCAGCCCACTGGATCAACCCCTCCCTCCCTCCCTCCCCCTCCTGGGAATCCACTTGCCGGGTAAGCCTACACTCCCCCTCCCCCCCGCAACACACACACACACACACACAGAGGGCCAGACAGACAGCAAAACCCACTCCCCATGCCTCTCCACGCCCCATTCCACCCTACTTTTGCCGCCCCCCCCCCCGCTCTTACCGGGGACTGCCCGGCCATCTCCACCCCAGCCTGCAGGAACTCGTTGAAGTCTTGGCCAAACTTGCCAGAGGCCTTGGCCAGGTCCTGGGGGGTCCCACGCGACGCCTGCACCAGCTCATTGGCCGACTGGTTCAGGCCAGCTGCCGCCCGGTTCAGATGGGTCTGCGCTTCCTGGAAGTTCTTGCCGCTGGGTGGGAACTAGGAGCCAAAAGTAGGAGTCAGACTCAGCCGGCAGGCGAGCAGCTCACAAACACTTCACGGGGCCTCACTGCTCCCACGTCAGCAGGCAGTGCAGCAGCCCAGACCACTGACCTCCTCCACGGAAAAACACCGCGTCGGGACCATGGTGCTAGTGACGATTCCTTGTTTTATGAGAGTGTGTGAGCCTTTAAATGCTTGGTTGGAGTGCACGGTTAGTAGACTAGAGTGATTGAGAGAGACAAATGTGCTGTGATTGGTGGATGACAGAGTGTGGGAGGGGTTTTTGAGGTGAATCTGTGTGGGTGTGTCAGTTATGAGAGACAGTTAGGAAAATCAGTTGGAACTGTCCAGTGGGAGAGTTAAGCCAGTGAGTGTTCAGTTAGTTCTGAGTGATTTCTTAAAGAGGGCAGTATAGATGTCCTTAGCCCGTGTGG